AATATTATTTGGCTGTGGGACTCGGTCAAAGCTTTTCATCTGCAGGACCATTTGAATTTCCCTTTGTCCTCCCCCCCCATGCCTCCTTTCTCTCTCTGTGTCGCTCTCCCACATGTATAATCACCTCCGTTTGTTGTTGTTGTGTCATGTTTGGGGAATATTTTTGTGTGTCGGTGACGTTGCTTCAACCTGTGACTTGGAGATACAGCGGTAAACAACTTTCGCCGTTTCCCTTCCTATATTTCGGCGGGAACAAGGGGGAAAAAATTGAACGAAACAATCCTCCCCGGTATATGAAGACACTGCCCTCGGCGGTGACCGGCGGTTACCGGGCCTCTGTTGTTATCCCGAGCGATGAATGGCCGCTCTTAATGAGAAAAGACGTCGTTTCCACCGGCCCCTGTCGGGATCGGAGCGACGTTAATGCAGAAGCTAAAGGAGAAGGAGATGGAGACGAAGAGAGGGGGGAAAAAAAGAAAAAAGTGAGGCCATTTTCCTTTAAAAAAAAAAAAAAAAAAAAAAAGGAAAGGACAAACCACGAGGAAGAGTGAGGATGGGGGGGAAAGGTGGGGGGGAGGAGGAGGAGGAGGAGGAGGAGGAGGAAGAAAGAACCGCACGACAGGAAGATGGATGTGGGCAACAGTCATAGTTTGCAGCATTTTAATTGCCTGTGAAAATGTCATGTAATATCCCTCTGGATGGGCTTTTGTTATTCTGTGGGTGAAACATCATCCCGGAGGGTGAGTGGGTGGGTGTGTGTGTGTGTGTGGGGGGGGGGGGGGGGGGGGGGAGGTGGAGGGCAGGACGTAGGCTATAGCTGGCGGCCATGTTGGATGTATTATGATAATGGTGTCCAGAATCTGAATGACACCGAGGTCAAGAAATGAAATGTCTTAGAAACGGTGACTGATTGGGGAGTGTTTCCAGCTGGATGAAAGAAGAGGAGAATTGTTCATAATATGAGGACTGCATTACATCGAATATATATATATATATATATATATATATATATATATATATATATATATATATATATATATATTTGTATGCCTTTTCTCCCCCCCCCGCAACTTAAATAAAAGGCTGTGTATGTGTCCCGATTCTCATGTTGTTGTTTTTGTATCTCTGGGACTAAGCACATTTATTTATTCAACTCATACATCCACAAGTGTTACGGTTTCTCTTGTACATTTTTAGCATAGTTATTAGCAATACGACAACCGGAGCGCCGACACGCTGCCTGAAAACAAGCCTGTCGTCGCAGGGCTTCATCTTCCCTATACCATGAAAATCTCCTAGATATTAAAAGTCTGTTATCGCTGATGGAAACAGAGCAAAGGCTTCCATTTTCTAATAAAGTAATTCGCTCTCCACAAAAAGTGACTTTCATGCCTTTCGGATGAATTAATTTCCAGGTATCTCAAGCCTGAAGGGCCATTTAGCAAATCCTCTTTTTGATTCCAAATAGCTCCTTAATGCATTGTCCCTTTCTTGGAGCAGCCATTTTCAATTAATCCCCTTGCATTATGCATGATTACATTAAACAATCCAATAAATTGATATGGAGACTCTGGCTAAGAGAAGACTGTGTTAATGGAGTTACAGCTCCCTGGGATGAATTCATTATCACACGTAGGGGGAACATGTTAGGGCCGAGCGACCGCTCCGTCTTCTTCGCTCAGGATGGTGTTGTGACGCTACGCTAGGCACTGGGTTCGATCCCCCAATGTCAGCCTTCCTGTAGGCCTCCTTGGGCAAGATACTCCTACCTGCTCTTGAATCACCTCCATCTGAATTTACCGTAAGTCTCTTTGGATAAAAGTTTACTAAAATGCCATCTGGTTGGTGTGTCACTAGTCAGAGTTGTATGTCTGTCTTCAAAATGTAAGTAAGATAAAGGTGTGGTAAAGTTCAAGTATGTTTCGCAATAGATTTTCCACGTCAATCTCGTCAAACTAATTTGTCTAATTAATTAATTTAACCCTAGCACTAAACCTAATCTACAAAAACCCATATGTTTACATTAATCAGAAGACTAAGTCACACATAATAACGATTGATTGGGGTCAAGGTATCCTCCATCATGTGGTGGTGTTTGGAAGAGAGGAGAGTAGCAGCAGACCTGCAAACATGATAATGACGGCGATGATGATGATGATGATGATGATGATGATGATGATGATGATGATGATGATGATGACGACGCTAGCCCAGAGCGAACTGTGGCTACGGCCGGGGCGTCTGTAGTCCTGTTATCCCGTTTACCAAGCGAGGAACGTCATTAACATGGACCAGAACCCATCCAAGTCCAGAGGGCAGATGGAGGGGGGGGGGGGGAGGCGGCGGCGGTGGTGTGGGGAGATGGTGGTGGTGGAGGCAGAATAAAAAGGTTGGTTGATGAAGGGACTGAAATAGAAGGTATTAAGACGGAGAGCGATACCAAGAAAGAGAGAGAGAGGGAGGGGGAGAGGGATGGAGAGAGAGAGAGAGAGAGAGAGAGAGAGAGAGGGGGGGAGAGAGAGAGAGGGAGAGAGAGGGACGGCGGGGGGGGATGGAAGACGAGAGGAGATAGCGGGGAATTGGTAATTTGAAGACTGGAGATGCTGAAAAGGAGAGACAGAGTGAAGCGGGAAAAAGAAAAGTGGTGAAAGCGAGATAAAGCGAGCGAGGGAGCGGACGGAGCGCTGAATAGACAGAAAGAGAAAGAGGAAATGACATTGTGCTCAGTCTCGAATAAAGACTCTCCTCCAGGATACGTTAGGGAGCACTCCTACAGTTTGGGATCCTGTTAAGGCCTTGTTCCCTTCTCACAACTTTTTTTTTGATAGGCGCCTAAAGGGGAACTTTCGTTTTCCAAACACAGGAAAGCACTGCGTCATATGCGTGTGCACACATCGACTCGACAAAAAAATATTTAAAAAGTTTGACATTTACATAAGGCAAAAGGTCCAACCATATGTCATAGTCATGAAGGCATGTATTACGTCTAGACCAGAGGATTAGCAGAGGATGAATATATAACCTGTAGATCCGTATCTGTGTTCATAAGGCAGGTGGGACTTGAACCCACAATGCAGAGGCTGATGCCTTATCCATTAGGCCACCAGGTTCAGGAGTGCGCTTCACTAATTAAAATGTCTCCGCAATTACTTTTGGTATGCGGTTACCAGAGCACTCTAGGCTTGGGCTACACCTGTAAATCATGTGTCTAAATCAGACCCTCAAGGATTTCGCGATGTTGCGATTTGCAACTTCAACGCATCAGCCAATCCCCGCGAATTCAGGGCGGTGTTGCAATTGCAATGATGTCGACAAACTACCTTCCGCCTTACTTCCGTGTTTACCGCGTTCAAGATATTCAAGAAATGCAGCATGTGCGCGTCCAACATTTCACACTTGCCGACCAAAATATCTGCAAAAGATATTAAAATAAAAACATTAAAAAAATGAATAAAAAAATATATATCAAAAAATCGCAACTTTCGCAAATTTTATCGCAACTTTCACTTCTTCTTGCAGTGTAATCGCAACAAAAGCCTAAAAAACACCGCAACTTTCATCGCAAATGGCCTTTTAGGCCGCAACAATCACAAAAAAGGCCTGCAAAATCCTGGAGGGACTGCTAAATAACATCACAACACCCATATGTTATGTTATTTTGTTAACATGGTAGTAGGCCCATGCGAGTCGAACTCAAAATCCTCATCTCAAATAGCTCTCCTGCCATTTCAACCCAGTAGAAAGGTTGTCATAGTTGTTCCTCCACAGAACAAAACGTCATTCGATTATGTTTTAAACCGTTCCCATGGAAACTTGAGAGTTAAGGTAAGAGCACGGCGTACGATCTAGGCGGGAGTTGAACACACAACTCCCAAATTCAGAAAACATTGCCTTTTCCATTAGGCAGGTTGGCCTTTGTGTAAGTGCTTCATAGGAATAGTAATAATAATCATAATATCTGAGAGAGCGCCGCTCCTTGAGGAGTGGGTGTAGGCGGCAGCCAGGAGCAACCGCCGCATTGTTGGATGTGCATCTGAGTGTTTTGTTAGTTTACCTGCTGTTGGGACTCTCCAGCCAGCCGGAGGTTTTTTCCACAGCATTAAATACAGTGAAAGCAACAGCGTGCGGCGTACTTGATGAACTCATACCCGTGGACAGTTTAGGCCTAATTAATCACTCCATTTAATCACCGTTTTACACATTGGTACGTCAGCCTCGGAGTTAAATACGTACAAATAAATACATACAAGTGCACTTTTTCACCTCAATAGCTAATTTACACAACAAAGTATGGCAAAAATAAACTCTACATTTAATTTTTGACATCAAAATGTTTTGAATAAAGGAAACCTCGTTCAGGCTGTAATTTAAAACATGAGACACATATTGTATTAAATATCATCATACATAATATTGCTTTTTCTTCACCTTTACTTCAATGGGGAATGTGAGGATCTATTGATTAGGCTAAAACTGAGCGCTACCTTTCCCATCAAACTCACCATAAAAAAATAGGTTTTGCGCACAGTGGAGACCGAGACAGAAAGAAAGCGACACTATTGCTCTTGAACTGCAGCCTGATGTGTTTTTTTTATTTTTCTATTTAACCTTTATTTAACCAGCAAATCCCTTGAGATTAAAATCTCGTTTTGTAGATAGCACTCCAGTACAAGCAGAAGGTTACACAATGATAGAATAGAGCATGAGTCGAAACAGACAACGACCATTAAAGGAAATGGGGCGCGATAAACATAACAGACGAGGGACAACAGATATATACTATAAAGATATATCCACAGTTTTTAATCAGGTTTTGCTGGTGGGCATAATGTTTGTCAATAAACCTGTGACATCTTGTGAATCTTGTTAATTTAAAAGTGTGTAGAAATGCTAGTCCAGTGAAGTTCAAGTTGCGAGATTGTACCGCTTCATTTTCAGGTAGTGAGGCATGTCCTCATACCATACACAAAGACATCCCACCAACTTGAGAGGTCTAGGTACAAACCAGGTGGGACTTGAACCCACAACCCCTTGCTCACTCTCCAGAGGCAGGTGCCATATACAGTATATTAGGCCACTGGGTTATGGTTTAGCCGAGGTTCAAGGACACTTGACCTAATTTAGCTCTCTGTGTTCAGTTTGCTCCAGTATATGATTACAGCGCACTTATAATAATTAGGCCTAATGAATCACTCCGTATGCTTTCTGGGGCATCTGAATTCAAGTGCAATCAATGACCTAATGCTGAAGAGCAGTAGAGACTGTTCATATCTCTGTGAAATATAGGAGAACCACAATGCAACAATTGAGGATTTCATAAGCATGGTAATCAGACACAAGACAGATATCTAGCAATAACAGGATGTCCTAGTTTGAACCCTAACTCCACAATAAGCATCAGATATCACTAATAGACAATGTGTTCTGCTGAATAAGTTTCACTGAAGTTTCTACTGAGGTGAGAACTGAAGGATCAATCACCAGGTCTAGGTTTTCGTATAAAACCAGACCAAGACCATTCATTTCGTGTCCAGAGCAGAACGGGAGAGGCTATGTTCTTCAACAGAATCATCGATGTAGATACATGAACATGCCTGTCAAGATCTTTGAAAGGATATGCCAGGTCAGTGACAACAAAGGTGCGACCCAGATGGGACTCGAACCCACAATTCCCAGCTTCGGAGGCTGATGCCTTATCCATTAGGCCACTGGGTCTGCCGTGTTGCAGGTACCTTTTTGGTAGGGGAAATCGAGGAGAAGGGATGTGGGGCGAGCATCAAGACTATTGCGTCCATTAGACATGAAGGACTACTCACTGTTGCAGGAGCACCCTACCATGGCTAGAGTCTGCAAGAGCAAATTTGGCCTTTCAGAAATAGTATTTTCATAGGAAATGAATTCAATTAATGATTTAATGGCAAGTATACAAACCAGGAGGGACCTTACGCCACAATCAGAGCAGCGCAGTTCTCCAACTCTTGTTGAGAAACAGATGGTCATGGTCTTGTTGTGGGCAGAGCATTACAAACCATAACCAACCTCTTCTGAGCATACACACTTCACTTCATGGTCGCATGATGAAGTGAACCGAACAATGTCTGTCTTTCGATCAATCACAAGTGGATTTTTATCCAAAATTCTCTGTAAAATACTTACGGCTACACCAGAGTGGTAGTAGTTGTAGTTTTTCTTGAGTGATTGTGACAGGTTGTGACAATGCTTGCTGCTATGTGTTGATGTGTTTGCTACTGTCATGACTGCTCAAATCACATGTTCTTCAGCAGAATATGCTTCACAAGCCAGAAGAGAGTCCACCCAATCTACAACTCTAGAGGTTGTCTGAGATATACCTTACCCATATGGCCACTAGGTTTCTTGTATATATATATATAAGGCCACTGGTATTTAACTCTCTGCATTGTGAATAACTTGGCATGACATTACAGGAGCCTTCTGGGCTGAAGGAAAACACCATGAAGAAAGACAGACTCAACCCAAGTGTGACTCAAACCCACAACCACCAGCTCTGGAGGATGACACCTTATCCGTTAGGCCACTGTTATTTTTTTCAGCAGACAAATAGGGGGGAATTGCAGACACCGTCGACATACTGCTTCACTCTTGGTCTTCCCTAATTCTGAAGGGGCAACACTACCCTTTCAGACACCAGGCTGCTCATTCAACAGAAAGGGGATTTAGTCCCTCATGTACCCTAGAAACAAGTCCTGGGGCTGAAGGCCTCTCATCCCTTCTACTTAAGTCAAGACTATCCATGGCTCAATGGCATAGAGGTTCTAATTTCAAGTTTAATGTGTCATGCAGAGGATGAAAGGAGACCCAGTGGCCTAATGGATAAGGCATCAGCCTCCGGAGCTGGGGATTGTGGGTTCGAGTCCCACCTGGGTTGTCCCTTTGATGTCTGTGGCTCTGAACGTCGTTGGTGTGAACTAAACCTTCAAAGATGTGTGGTATCTCCTCAACCCCAGTACAGTGATGAATGAAGTCACCTTACTTACACTGTGATTATAAAAAAAATGCAATATTGGTGACATGATCATATTCCAGAGCTGGTGGTTGTTTGATCCCCTCATCACTTGTACTCTGCATTGGTATAAAACCTACATATCACACAGCTGTAATTAGGCAGAGTTAACATTTCACAAATGTACTTTATATGTCCAACTGCCGACCAAGTTCAGACTCTAACCCACAACGCTGTCTTTGTATGGGCACATTCAATATAAAAATAAACACATTTTTAATACATTTTATTGTCCATTTGAAACACAAAAAACACAAAACCAGTGCTTTCTATTTCTGGTGTCCCTCTGGCAGGATGTGACTGAGGAAGGGAAGCAGGGAGGGGCTTGAGTTTGAGTATATTCACTGAGCTATCATAATGAAGTGCAACATTCATGTTCAAAGAGTTGTTGTTGTTTGTGTTTGATGGCACCTTTTTTTTCTCCCCCGCTAAGCAAACTTGGAATAAATAAGGCGAATATACAGGTCATAGCACCAGCCTTTCACATAGCTTGGGGAGGATTACAGGTAGTAAACACGACTTTATTAGTCACAAACTGAATGAGAGTGTCAACATGTAAAGAAATATGCATGTTGTTAACGCACAAATACCCCTCATCCCCCCCTTCCTTCACCTCTTTGGGAAAACTGCTATCATCATTTGCATGTTTTTTTCTGCAACATTACAACTTTACAACTTGGGTCTGTAGGCCTATGGGACATCACAAGGTTTGTTTGTACGTGCACACCACCGACAAATATATCAAGGAAAGCTGGAGCGCTTGTTTTTCGGTGGAAACATGCAGTGAGAGAGTTAAACATTAGTTAAAAATGACAACCTAAAAATGTCAGTGTTGTCACAGAACAGCCAACTTAATGTCCCCTGTCTTCTTGCCTTTTCTCTGTGCCTCACACACACATTAGTTTCACTTCAAACCCTCTCTCTCTCTCTGTCTCATTTTCTTTGTCTCAGGAAAGAAAATGCCTCTTGTCTTCGTCTTTGCCTTTGTTTACGCCTTTATGTCTCTGGCCCAGTGCTCCCTCTCCTCTTCTCATTCCCTAGCTCTCTTGTTCTTCATCCTCTGTCTCTCTGTCTGTTTTCACTGTTATATCTCCTTCTCTCAATATTGTTCTAGCTCTCCCATCCCTCTAGCTTCTGTTTCTTATTCTTTCTCTTTAGCTTCTTCAATCTCCCTTCTGAGCTTCCCTCGCTGCCCTTTACTCTCTCTCTCTCTCTCTCTCTCTCTCTCTCTCTCTCTCTCTCTCTCTCTCTCTCTCTCTCTCTCTCTCTCTCTCTCTCTCAAGGGCCCTGGAGACAAAAAAGATGTGACGCAGCACAACGGAGCAGCTCAGTGAGCCCGGCCGTCTGTGTAATACCCCGGCTTTACGGTAGAGGAGTGAACACAGAGCCTCCTCCCCGCTCCAGCGACGGCTCGGCTGTGATACCGAAGTTCATGAACCCGTTGACCATAACACCCACCCCATCTTTTCCATCCATCACTAAACAGTGGTCTGTTCGGTTCTGCTTTATTTAGAAATCATATCCATTGCATCGGTGCACAACGGTGTCCAATGACTGAACGAACCCCGCTCTCTGAACTCGGTTCAAAGCAGTACTAATGTCAGCCGGAAAAGCCCCTCTGATCGACCCTCATGGGAGAGGATATGAATAAACCTGGCAGGGTATTCTCTGGCGGTGATTGGGTGTTGACTCCCAGTTGAACGTTTAGTTTAGTTTATTGCTTTATATGACAGGGACTGTGCACAACAACACAGTAGTTGGGCCCCGATATAACCAGATAGCTCATTTGTATCTGCGGTCCCTGGGCAGGAAAAGACTTCGAACAATACAATTAGCAAACTACACCGGTACATCAAAATATACAACAACACATTACGTGTAAGACAGCTTCACACGAAGTAAGCTATCCAGGGCCCTGTTTCAAATCGCAGGTGAGGACACTGTGGAGTGTGTGTGTGGTTGATGGCTGTTTTAAGCAGCCTCACCTGTCCCAAGTCAGACTGATTAGACCCTGGTGACTAGGTGAGGCTGCACACCTGTGGTGCAGAGCAATCAAGGCCCACAGGATAAACCAGCCCATCACCACACACACACACTCAGGGAGAGAGCCTCTGCCATGACAGCTGTGTAGCATCTGCTCTGGTTTTGTACCATCTCTAATAAATGAGATTATATACATCTACCTGTGTCCTGTGTCGGAGGAGCCCAGTAAAGTCCAGGTGTGGTAGGGGTCAACCGCCACAGATACGTTTAAGCTTAAAGGAACACTTCAGCCATTTGCATTAAACGTTGCATCATTAGAAACCCAGTCATATTTTTGAACGGTCGTGCAATATTCACTCATTTTCCCCCGAGACGGGAGAAATCCGTATTTACCTCTCACACTTCCTGGTTCAAACGACGTGAAACGACAATTTTTGCGTCACTAGAACCCCCCCCCCCAAAAAAAAACAAAACACTTCCTAGTCCAAATGACGCAAAAATCGTCATTTGACGTGATTTGAACTAGGAAGTGTGAGAGGTAAATATGGATTTCTCCTGTCTCGGGGGAAAATGAGTGAATGTTGTGACGACCATTCAAAAATATGACTGGGTTTGGCAAATGGGTGAAGTGTTCCTTTAAACCAGAACTCAAGTGAGTGCTTCCCTGGACAGTCATCATCGCCAAGCCATCGTCCATCACACCCTTGAAAATGCAATCGATGGAGGGAATCCCCAAGCCGTCGTTGCTATATTTTAGTGCTGGTCGTAGCCCTAGTCGGTTCGTTCGCACTACATCACCGGCTCTGCGAGACTAGCTGAAGCCATCTAGCGTTCGCCCAGACCGATTTTTTGGTTTTTCACTTAATAAAGAACCACAGTATTTGCAAGTCTGTCCGTTCGTCCGTCCACACATCAACTCTGTACGACCCCCCCGCCTACGCTACACACCCCCATCACATCTGTTCCTGGGTTATCCTTTGCCAGGTTCGCCGTCCTTGGAACGAGAAGAAGAACTGACCCCTTACCTGCTCCTTAACGCCGCGTATGACATATGTTCTC